AAGATTAGCCCAAATAGACAGACATACATAAAGGTAGACAAACAAATAGAACCAATATTTCAAGCACGTAAAGAATATACATAGAGTAACCAATAGAACACAGATATTTTGATATTACAGACAGTTCAATTTTATTTATTAGATACATATATCAAGTTATACTGGTTTATGTTTCTATTTTATTAACATGCGAAAATAGCTAAGTATTTTATATTTCCATATTGATTATATCTAACAGAACATTTTGAAAACTGTGCGTTAGACTATACGTTCCCGACTGCCCCAGAAGATGGGTAATGTTTTTCGAGTGTTTGAATGTATTGTATGTACGTCTGTTTCTTTGTCACGCTTTGTAGCCTATTCCTAATGACTTGATAGATCTTAATAATCCAACAACAGCCCATATAGTTTGGTATCATCTTAGTTGTAGAAGTGACATCTAATATATAAAAGTTAATAATATTTTTCGTTCGTATTTTATGCGTCGTCAGATTGCGGTAAAATTTTATCGAGTTATTGCTTACACTTGCACAAAGATTATAGGCATAGTACAATTAACTTACAATAGGTTACAATTACAATACTGACAAATTTATTTAAAATTTATATATCATTCAATTTTAATGAATGTATATAATTATTACTTATGCGGCTTCAATGCGCAGGGTATATAATTTTTCTCTTTTCCTTTTTTTCACCTTCATACTTGTTACAATACAATCTTATTAAATGTTGTGGACGTAAACCAGATACGTATAATATATCGTCATTGGAAAGGCAATACTACTTAAGCTCCATTTTGGCCAAAATGAGTTACGAGTATATATATCGTTGGATTGGATTTTTTTTCTGCGTCGATTGGTCTATATTTCGTGATGATCTGAGCACTTTTTTGGCGCTTAAGCACTGCAAAAGTATGGTTTTATCATAATTTTCATGTTTTGACAAATACGTAATACAAATTATGATCAATTTTTAGTGGTTGTCAGTTTAGTATTTTTCTTTACTGACAACAGACATTTCAATTTTGTTCAGCAACTCAAAGTACTGTAGTTTGAGTCATTGATATAACTTTAGTATTTTTTGCCGGCCGTAAATACTAGCATATATGTAGATAAGTAACTTTGCCTTATGTAGAAATTGATAAGCATGGCGCGTTGGTATATTTTGTTTTCGCAGTTTTCTTAGAGGGAACGGTTTTAGTAACTTTTCTTTACATATCTAAGTATTTAAGTGTCTATTTAGAATGTTTTACATTCAATGAAATCGAATAATTATTTTATTAAGAATGGATTATTTTACTCGACAAAATATTAATAGTTGGTTTAGCATTTGGATGTGTGAAAAACGTTAAAAAATATTCAGTTAAGTCTTATGAAATTAAATTTTGTTATGATTATGATTCGTTAAGTACGTACAATTTATATTTTGATTTACATACGTTTTAAATACGCCATATAGCCAAAGTATCTTATTATACTACAGTCGCAAATTAATTGTATATAATCTTACTTTTTATGAGTCCAGAACTAGAGAAGTTTATTGTTATTCTTGGACTGAGACAGAAGGCAAACGTGGAGCTAACGAAGTGTGCACCATCTTAGAAAAATATGTCAAGATGGAGACGATCGTATGTCAGTCAGACATCTTTTGTTTTATAGCGATGCGTGTCCCGGACAAAATAAAAACAGAATTGTTCTTGCATGCATTCATACTCATCTGCAAAATTACAAGAACATTGCGAGCATTCAAATGAATCATCTCTATTTGTGGAAGCTTTGTACATCAAAGATATTTTTTTTATAGGATAGGGTAACAAACGAGCACACAGTCCACCTGATGGTAAGTGGTTGCTGTGACCCACAGACATCTACATTTACCCTCAATGAAGAATCAAAATGCAGATGCGTCGTCACCGTCACCGTCGACTAAGATGCAGCATGGCTCTACCACGTATTAATATAATAATTCTTGAAATGTATCACTATGAAAATGAAATTTTCCTTGTGCCGTTAATGTTGAGGACACCCTTCAAGATACGAATGTAGAAGACGTTATCTAATTATAAAATTTAAAAAATATTGATTTCTTATATTTACGCGAACACTACACATTTAAATAAAACTAATTTTACGGATTTTATCGCGTATATTAACTTATTTTATATTCCCGACGTTTCGAGCACTTTACATTACCCATGGTCACGGGGAGACTGAGGTGTATGACGTCCCAGTCTCACAGTTAACCACGGCTACCTCCAGATTAAAAATTATTAATTTTTGTTCCGATCTACGCAGTATGAACTTACAGTATCATGAAGTCTTGCAGTTGTATGCTTGGGTTGGGATTAATTTTTTTTTAATTATGGGAGCGTACAAATAACACACTTAAAACAACTAGTGGCCTCATAAAGAAACACTCCGAAAAATTAAATCTTGACGTAAAATCGATAATATTTACGTGTGCCAAACCACCGAAGTTGTAAGGGTTACCAAAAATGCACAAGCCCAATGCTCCACTACGTTCCATAGTGAGCAAAATTCACCAACTTACAGATTGGCTCAGCACTTAGCGAAAATACTCTCACCGCTCAAGGGACATACAGGAGCACACACAAAGGATTCCTACCATTTTGTCAACGAGATTAAAGACATCTGGCAGACAATGAAACTGTGGTCAATTTTGATGTGCAAATATACTTATACGTCTTGGACTTTATGGAGACATGAAGGTGTACTTCGATATCTGCTACTGGAACTCCTCGATGAGTAGAACTCGGTGTGCCAAGATTGTGCTCGTTATGTCAGTCCTGATGAGGCCTTACCCCGACTTGAAGGTGTACTTCAGTGAATTCTACTGGAACTCCTCGAAGAGTAGTAATAGTAATATGTGTGTTGAGTTTGGGCTCATTTTGTCAGTTATGATGGGACCTTACCTCTAAACAGCGGCGGATTATCCTAAAGGCAAACTAGGTACGTGCCTAGTTTGCCTTTAGGATAATCCGCCGCTGAGGCGCAAGATTAAAAAAGCCCGCGCTGAAGTTTTTAAACTAAAAAAAATCGTCGTATTTGATTACTCCTAAATCGCTGTCACTCTCTCATCATATTTTTCATTTATGCCTTGTTAATGGTACTCGTATCCTAATTATTTTGCAATTATGAAAATATATTATAAATTATAATATAGTCTATTTGCAAAATGAGTATATTTAATTTATAATAGATATAATATGGCCCCTAGAAGGGCTCCGACGAGGTTCTAGGCTAGCCTAGGGAGCAGTCGACATTTAATCCGCCTCCGTTTCCGGAGTTGACAGAGTGACCTGAAAGTGCACTTCGATGGATGCTACTGGATTTGCCAATAGTTTTTTTTTTTCAGATATTCTAGATGAGGGGTGTTGTTATAAACGGTCATTCTGATGACACCGAACTCAGTAGATATCCTAATACTTACAAGTGTATTCTTTTAGGTCAGATCTTCTTGGAATACTTCGCTCTCTTAAAAAATAATTTTTAATCTTTCTTTTACCTACTTAATATGATTATCAGAAAATGAGTGTTTCTGCGCTTGTGTTTAGATACACCTGTAGAGTAGAAACACTAACTATATAATATCAATAGTGATAGCTTCAAAATTACTTCGGCTTGATAACGCAGTAGCTAAGCGTTTGGTTAACGGCGCTGCTTGCCTCAACAAGAACAAGTAATTTGTATGACTTACAAATAACTGTTCTCGGTCTAGATATGTTTATAATATTTGCAATTTTTGTATGTAAAATGACTAACTAAGGTGACATTTATAAAAACAAAAACAAGAAGTTAATTAAAATTAGTGAAGTGGTAATAAAGAGTGGTCGCTGCCCTTTTCAAAAATTCGACCAAGATGCCATACTCATTACTTATCAAAGCCATCTTTTATATCAACAGATATTTTTTATGTAATACTTTTTCAGTGTGGTAGGGCTGTGTAGCTATTCTGCCCTCTTACCTGTTCAGGTGGCCAAGAGGAAGTGCACTCACTGCTGTGATCGGTATAAGAATCAGTACAATTGCAGGTCATGAGGCATATCACCTTAGCTCCCGGAGAGATCACAACACATCTGATGCTCTTTTTATTGTTACTGGGTGTACAGACTACAGAAAGTACTTAAGGTGGACTATACGCCCATTAGTCACATTTAGAAAACAAGCAAAGCATACAAATAGTCGGTAACTGAACAGTAAAAAGGTCACGTCTTGTGATTACATAAAGCAGAAATCAGTTGACGCGCGTGTCATTGTCACGTAATGTCTGCTATAGGCATCGAGAAACTTGCTGTTACAGTGCTTCGTCGATTGATCAATCGATCGCATTGTAAACATAGGAAATAAACTCTAAACACGCTTACAATCATAAATAATGTTTAGCATTACTACTCCTATAAAAATACCTATCCATGTAACTTGTTGACGTTTCACGAACACAAAACATCAATCTCATGTCAATGGTAAATAATAATTCACCTAGTTGAAAATTAATATAGCTGACCTCTATTCACCTTTAAGTGCTGGTCATAGTATATAGCAGTAAGGTTAAGCAATGATACAGCCATATTAGAGGTGACAGTAGCCTAACAGTTAAGAAAGAATGAATTATAAGTCGAATCCCCCATTTGATTACTGTCGTAACCACTCCCAGCACAAGCATTTAAGCTTAGTTGGAGTGGTTATAACAAAGAAGTGGTATTAGTAGTTTATTGTTGTTTGTTAGTATATTTCTAAGAAACATATAATTGAAGCACGATTGTCCGGCTCGGCCGGGCGCCAGCGTAGAATAGGAGCTTCGTATGCTAAATGTAGAGAACCCTTTTCACGGGTAACGAGGCATTCCATCTTAGTCCTCAGGAAGGACATTTTGATTTTTCACCACGAATAGTTGTAGATGTCTATGGGCATGGACTTACCTTCAGGTGGTCTGTGTGCTCGTTTGTCTATAGAAAATAACTTTAAATTTTTTTCTAGGCACAAAACGGCTTCGACGAACTTCGTCGTTATGTCAAACAAGGGAGTGACTTCAGCAAAGAATTGGCGGCAATACTTCAAGAAAGGTAACTATGGAAAAATATAAGTCTGTATTTCTTTTTATAATTTTACGTAATCTTAATTACCCAGGTAACAAATGTTGTTATAGCTTAGATTTACCTAACATAGATTCAAAAACTATTTACTTAATTGGTTTTAGCTAATAAATAATATAAATGTAGCTGACCTGTAACAGAGAATGATTTTAAATATGTTCATTTGTGCAATTTGTAACATATTTTAAACATGAAATACTAACGAACGTCTATACTCGTAGGATGAAAATTATCTCGAGTAAAAATTATAAATAACTATGTACAAATCAAATAGAGTAGAAGTCACCGAGTAGTGCACGCAATAGTAAGCATCTTATCAACTTTTCATTATAACGTTTACTTGGCTTCAACGGACCGGTAAAACAATGAGTTATTGATTATTGTTTATGGCTCGACCTGTGAGAATCAATCGCCTTTGTTGAATCCCATGTTATGGATAATAAATGAATTCTACATGCACCCTTGCTAAAATTAAATTACCAAAACACTGGTTACTGAAGATTATGGATGTAAGGATACCGATATACGAGTAGCGGTTGATTTAATCGCCTGGCCGAAATTATCGGTAGCAAGCAAGATGGCGGGAGAGCCGCGAAAAATACAATTTCTAGAAATTATCTACAAAGAATTAAAATTCATGATAATCTCAGTTGCCTCAAAACGTCTTTTTTACCTGCAGGCCTTCTATAAAATAATTGGATTAACGGACTGTCTGCAAACTTTGCTTTTCAAGCAAATATCTGTTACAGTGTGAAAAAGTGAATTTCAGTTATTAAACTTGTGTACCTAATAATTTATTACTTTGTTTACATTATGATAGAAAATCACATTGCTTATTTAATGATAACTCTTAATGAATGTTATCTATATTTGTGCTTTCAATATCTTTTTGGCTTTACTTCAGACCAAAAACGAATGAAAGACGGAACGCTGCGTGCATTTTAAATGACGCAATAACCAATCCAAAATCGTGCTTAACTTGTATAAGTCTTAAAACAAGAAAATTAAATTATAAGAACTCGCACTCACGTACACATGTACATCTAGAATCATATGCTTGCGCCACGTGTATATATATGTGTGTGTGCGTCATATGTGCATCCAGCAGGGAACTTTTACTGGCTGATAAAAAAGAAAGAAAAAAGATATATGCGTGAGTGCGGATAAAAAATTTATCATGGTTTCGGAGTCACTTGAAGTGTACGCAGCGCAGCTCTATCTTATTTTATTACTCCGAAAAATGTACTTGTAATTACCAATAAAGAAATAGTTAGTTTTGTGCATAGAAAATCACTTGAATCCCTTGTACGCTGGCATTCTTGCAATCGGGTAAAAATGTGTACATCGTGTATCGACGACGGTTTCACCGATTATTTACTACAATAATCGGTATCGGTATCGTATCGACAAAATTGTGTAACGTTCGAGCTTACGTTAGTAACTATAAAAAATAAAAAGACCGTCATGTATGATTACCTTAAGATTAGACAAAAAAAAAGATCGTTGTACTATATGTTTTAACCCGACTGCGCCACAAGGAGGGTAATGTTTTTCGAGTAAATGTATATGTTTTATTTAGACAAGTTGGTACCTTATGTTAAGTTAATTTGTCAACAATCTGTTTCTATAGAATAAATAACTTTCTATAGGGTTGAAGCGGAGAATTACTACTCCAAATGTCTCGCGAAACTTGGCACGAAGTTAAGCAAAGCATGTAAAGAGAGCGTTGGTTCCTGTGCAGATGCGTGGAAACACGTCGCTATAGAAATGGAAAAACGATCGGAAATCCATAGGTATTGTATGTTTTGAGCCTATTATTTTTTAAAAGGCCAGCAATGCTTCATCTATTTCCCAGGTGTCTCCCTTGTTCATTAGCGGCGATAGTCACTTATTATCGAGTGACCCACATGCTCGTTAGCCTCCTTTTATATTTAAAAAAAAAACTAAAATCTCCATTAAATTGCTATTTTTTTTCCTTTTTTATCAGCCTGTATCAGTCCACTTCTTGAAACCTGCCTCTCCCATTGTAGAAAGGGTTGGCCGTGTTCGCCACGCTTGGCAGGCGAATTGGCGATCGCTTTGCCAAATATTTTGCCAATATTTTGACGCTGTCAACAGTCTGTTTATTATATATCTGGTATCATCTATACAAAATTATTTACTTATCAGTGGAGATCTTTCTAGGCGTTCCCATAGTCGCCTTTACGACATCCATGGCCAGTAATGGGTCTACCGCACATTTAACATGATAAAGTCTAAACTACCTTCAAAACTTTTACTTACTTTACAGAAACTACTCCAGTGCCTTGGCTGAAGAGTTAGTGAAACCAATGAAAAACATTATCGATAATCAACTTAAATTGAGAAAAAAGGTAGGTAACGTCATGATGTTTTTAAATAAAATACCAGTAATGCTATTAAACATTACTAATATTTCTTTTAACCTCTTCTGGTAAGCTTAAAATGCTTGTGTTAGAAGTGGTTCATACAGTAGTCGAATGGCGGATTCGAACCCAAGACCTTTCGAGTTCGCGGTCTGGTTCATACAGTAGTCGAATGGCGGATTCGAACCCAAGACCTTTCGAGTTCGCGGTCCGTGCCCTGTTATTAGGCTACGGAGGCTTGAAATTATTATTTATATCTATTTTGTTAATTAACTATCCCATTAACATCTTCTTTAATCCTTAATATCCAGATCGAGGGAAATGTGGACAAAACGACGCGGGCTCTTACTGATTGGAGAACAGCCGAAGCGAAGTCAAAACGCCAATCACACGCAGCGGCGAGGGAGAACGAAAAATTGCAAGACGCCGTTTTGGATATTAGGTCTGCTAACTTGCGTTAATTTCGACGAAATTGACGATTATTCCGTTTAACCTCATCTGTTTCTAACGATTTATAATGTAGAGGGATCCTTGTTACTTAATTGCGATGCGATTATCTGTGCGAATATTGCTATGCGATAGCTCTGCGATTATCGTCATATGGGGGCTTTGAGGTCGAATCATCAGGGGAAATACGTTTGTTTGCAGCCGCATGTCACGTAGTTCAAGCGTTGGACATATTCCACACTCGATCCTGAGTACGGCCCGAGCGGAACGATTAGCTAACTCCACAAGTGAGCGAGACGCTGCAAAACTACAAGTTAAGAAGAGGAAGACTGAAGACGCTGTTAAAAAGACTGAAGTTGAGTATTATAATGTCTGCGTTCAAGCGGAACGGGCGCGGTAAGTACTGCTAGACTGATTTTTATGTGTTGTTACACGAACACTTAGAAACTTAAACTTATCTTTGTTCAGATTAGAATGGGAGACAAGCGTTGTGAAAGGTGCGGGGATGCTAGAATCTCTCGAGGAAGAGAGACTCGCTCAGTTGAAGAGCTCAGCGGATTGCTATTTAAGGTTGACGGCGGCGGTGCCGCCCCAACTAGCGGAGGTAAAATCATAATCTATCAAACTTTTTATTAACAATTTAGTATTTAAAATAATGTGTACGTTTTTGCAAACAGGTAACAAATGCATTAGTAAGTCCCATTAAAAACGCGAACGCTAACGTTGATATGCGAGTCGTTCGCGGCGTGAGATCGTCGCCGACCGGAGCGAGCGAACAACTTTTGCCCGACTTCTACTGCGAACATACGACTCTCGCAATGAACAGGGAACGCCGTAAGCAAGTGTGTACTTGTTTAAATAAAATTAGTGTTTTATTGATGTTTCAAGTAAATGTGCTCAATTTATAAAACTTTAATTGTTGTACTCACAGGCTTTATTAAAAATTTTACAATTAGTAAAACAAGATATAGATCGAGAGCGCAAGTCCAAGCAGGGATTGGAGAAACTCTCAATGGCTATGAAACAAACACCAACATTTGGTAATGATGATTCTCAACAGAATGTAGCTGACAAACTTTATCACGTAAGACTATAGCTCCTTAGCATATTCCATATTTAGGTATACTTGTCTTGCCTTATTTTAATTTACTTTCTTACTTTCAGATGAGGTCGATGCTAACATATTTAGAAGCGGTTCGGTATAAAATATCAGCTAGTCTAAGTGAACTCGACAACAGGTCTCCAGTGCAACATCCCCTCGCCACCCATATACAAATTATTAGAGACAAACAAGGACTTCAGCAGAGCATCCTTAAAGTAAATTATATATTTGTTGACAAATAAGCCAGATATACAAACATATTATCATAACGCCTAATAAAATTGCAGGTGCCTCCATGGCTTCAAGAAGACTATCAAAATGAGGTGAACAAAAATCTACAACCCAACTATACGGCTTTGACGAAAAGCGTTAACGGTGGAGAAGAACGGGAGAGGCGCGACTCCATCATGAGCAGAGCGTCGAGTAAACTTCGCATAGAGCATTTATCGTTTAAAAAGAACACAGAGAATAAGATTGCGTCGGTCTGTGCAGAATTACCAACTCCTCCATTGAAAAGTATGGCACCGCAAGTAACGCCGCCGCCAGAAAGCCCGTTGGATTGGAGTGAACGCGGTGCTGGAGATGGACTGTCCAATCAACATGACAGCGACTTTGGTAAGAAAACAAAACATATTTAACAGTAACTATTAAACTCACTCCAGGAAGTATGGATGGAATTGGCTCAGGATTGTGCTTTGTGGAATTCCTTGCAGCGATGTAATTTTGATGATAATCATGATGATTAAACCCAAAATAAATCACTGTTAACAATTGTTTATCTTGATTAGCATACAACGTAGCCACGTATTATAAAATATAAATAGAATATTTATATTTTAAGTACTGTTCAACCGAAAGAGTAATAAGCAAAACATTACGCTAATCGAATGTTTCATAACTTAACACAAGGTTAATGGAACGGTTGTATAAATTACTTCCTTATTTAATGTATCTGTTTTATATGATGTTGGCCGTCGTTGCATATATACACTTATTATGTTGCAGATGAATTTTCATCACAGAGCGATAGCTCAACTGACTTGACTGATATTGGAAAGAGTGACAGTAACGGGGAAGCAGCGCAAAAGTTTATAGGTAGATGTCGCGCTCTCTACTCCTATGAAGCGAGGCTGGACGATGAATTAACTCTATCACCAGGTAATCGTCCGCGCTAGTAATTTTTAATAAAATTGAAGTGAACAGATACGTTATCGTCTACCAACTATACTACTAGTGGTATAGTTATAGTATAGTTATAGTTAATAATACTGTCAGTACTACTAACTATGCTGGCTTTACCCTTGACACTGTATCACAGCAGTACACTCACTGTTGCATGGTGGCAGAAATACCTATCTCTACCTATAAAACGAGTCCTACTATATAGAAAACTAATACTTTATAAATATGGATTTTATAATACGTAATTGTTTTAGTTAAGTAAGTATATTCACATATTATGTAAGTATATCCACAACATATTATGATACAAAAACACATGACACAGAATGACAGATCTTGGACCAAAATATTAGAAATGGTAGCTGATTTCGTAATTACAGATACCGTAAAACCTCTTATAACATTTACAATTAGATAGTTTAGTTTGTGGGTGCTAAGTCTATAACGAATATTTAACTTTTATAAACACAATATGTTAATTCAAATTTTTTTTATTTATTATTTTACTACATAATATATCATAAATTATTCACACTGCTTGGTGTCATGCATGTTTATAAATATTGTTACGTATATTAAACGTGTTGCGTGCCAGGAAGAGAATTTTGTTGTGAGCCAATATTCGCACCGTTTCATAGATTACAATTGGATTACAAAACACTTTTACGACTTATACAGAACACTTCGCTTGTAACACGAATTATTATTGCTATGCGAACTTTTTCCACGCTTGTGAATACAATCAACCATCATTTTCTAAATAAAATATATTTGATTTAACAGTTCATTCCGCTTTTGCAAAGCTTTTAAAATTCACTGATATATGAGTCAAATAGGCATAACAATTGGCTCCTGGTTATGCAATTTTTAGAAATACTGGCCAGCATAATTTAAATGTTTGTCCATCCATAACTATTACGCTAAATTGGTGACTGCAAAGTCGACACTCACTAGAAATGATGCTGGCTATCACCAGTTTTTGAGACTAGTATCCATCACTGTCACAAATACAGGTGAGGTGGGTATTTCAGACGTTGTTATACATCCTACGTTAAAGAAGTGGAGTAAAATTACTGGTTTTTAAGTCTGGATCTAATTAATTCATATTTGTTTCTGGCAAGGTAGCCGGTGAAGTGGCATACGAGATAGAGTACGACCTGGTAAGACATGTTGATGTAAGCAGGTAGTTCAGAGCCATGCATTGTGGTATTACATTAGGTAGGCCTAAGTTATGCAGTTGACTTCCAAAGGGTAATAATGATTATGATGTAGATGATGTGTTTCTGTACATGTTTATGGTATTAACAGTTAAAGTTATAGCCTATATACGTCCCACTGCTGGGCACAGGCCTCCTCTTATTTCTGAGACAGTGTGGCATTACCTACATTATTTTTTTAGTAAATGTGGCAACTAAGTGTAAACAAATAAGTAATTTATCTATAAATTTGCGCCCATACTTCTTGACTCGTAAGCTATTTATTAAAGGCACATCATATTTACCCATTGTCAACCCACATTTACTAATAATTCATATTGTGCTTACACTCAATACATTTCACAGATTTCTATTTTTAATTTACATACAGCCAGCTTGTCATTTTTGGCACATCATACTTGAGTAAGTAATTTCGATTGTATAACATTTTAAACGATCACTTAGGCAGTAATTCGCACTTGATACCGTAATTTGAATCTACGGTAGTGATTGAACAGTAAAATATCGGTGAAAAAGAATCCTTCACAACAAACTGTGTTGGAGTGGACTTAGAAAGTAATTGTCACAATAATGGGCTATGTTTGTTTTTTTATTATTGTATTTAACTATTCTACTTGTGTTCGTTGGATAACACAAAAATCTGTATAATGTGTTGTTACCCATACATTCTATGTTTTAAATTTTTTTCTTTAGTTTTTATTTGATATTATTGCAAATTACTTCCTCGTATACCTTAGGGGAATTCAATCGTTAATTAAGTAGTTGGTGCATATTGCAGTTTAAGTATTTTTCTCAAGTTGTACGAATGAAATTTATTTGAACAGACCTTTTATAGGATTATTATTACTCACACGCCAGATATATGTGAGCAAAGTTTGGCACATTTTTAAAACATTTGGTTGAATTCTGTGTGCGGCCGCCGAAGAAGATTAGTAAATTTTTACCAACCTTCAAGTGTTCAGTTCAATTTTTACCCTCTACAAGATGAAGTTTGTACAAGCTTGATTGTTTGTTTATATTATTAATTAATTTTCTTATTATTGATTAATGTGGCCTCTCTTACATAGGCCAGGCAAAAATATCTATAAAAACCCGTGTAAAAAACATATAGCTGTCGTGAAGCACCGACGGTCCGGGAAGTTTGCAGTCTGTGAACATATTCAAGATCATCCACGCCGTTACATCAGATTTGACAGACCACAAATCCTAGCTAAAAAACATCGATTCTTACCAAGGATGGTTCGCGAGGCTATTGAAAAAAAAATTCTAATTTCGATAGAGAAGATGGATGAGTACTACCATCTGATTGGAATATTATTATTAACAAAATTAAATCCAAACCCAAGCATACCATTGCAAGACTTCAAGATACTGTAAACTCGTTCTGCGTAGATCGTACATAATCATAACTTTTAACAAAAAGTAAGAACCGGCTTCAAATTGCTTAAGAAGAAGTTACTTATTTGCTACCCTTAGGGGTGGAATTTTGCTCAAAATGTATATGGGACCACCCCTGTAGTGTAACCTATTTAATAAAAAAGTATCATTAAAATCGGTTCTCAATCTGCGAAGATATCAAATGAAATTCCTTAATCAATCTGGACTATTGCAGTATGATACTTTTTCCCATATTCTCCACCCTGAAGGGTGGAATTTGTCCTCCAAAATTTAATGCGACCTTACCCTTAAGGTAAAGCCTATTTAATAAAAAAAAATAATCATAAAAATGGGTTCACAATCTGCGAAGATATCGCGTAACATACATACAAAAGAACCATACACTGGAATTGAGAACCTCCTCCTTTTTGAAGTCTGTTAAAAAATTAATATTCAAAAGCTGAAGGTAATCGGGCTAATTATTTCATCGGGACGTCATAAATCTCACCTAAGTTTCGGGCGGGGGAAGGAGGGGGGGGGGGGGGGCATGGGTGCTGTAAAGCACCTGAAACGTCCGGAATTAAAAAGTTAAAATAATCATACGTTATTGTGAATCATAAACCGTGTTATAATAATTTGAGATACCGATCTGATTTAGGATGATCACAAAAATTCATTGAAGTACGTTTTTATTTGTTTTTTATCCAACGGAAACAAATTATGTCTGGCATATTGTCGGTATTTTCTTAGGTAGAGTTGACCGATTCTAACATATGGTCACATTGCTGCCAGACTTGTATTAAAATTGTTGCACCCTATCAATCAATCAATATATTATTTCTTGCACACCACACATTAAAATGAAAACAAACTGAAATAAATTGCCTTTTTGCGCAAAGAACTGTTTACAATGAATTGCGAATAGGGAAGGTGTACATAAATTAGACAAATAAGAAGGTAAAAGGAATAAATAAATAAATATAAAACACAATACTATATGGATATATGGTATGATAAATAAATAATATACAATTAAGGATGTGAATTATGATGATAAATATTGGATCTCCAAGTAATAAGCTTGTAATAAGCTGAGCACATCGAATATATAAAGGCAAGAAGTGTACAACTGTAGCCGAGAATTATTTTACAAAAGAGGATGAATATGTTGTAATACGAAGCAAAAGATTGTTAGTAAGACGTAGATAACGATCGTGAGAGGAGAAAATGATCTCAAAGCGATCTTTCAGGTAACGGAGGGTGAAGGTATTCAACAGTATGCAGTATAAACCAGAAAGGATGAGTCTTCCTGCGATGGTGAATCGGCAGCCTCTTGAGACGTTTACGAAATTCTGAAATGTGATCATATTAACGAAGTCCAAATATGAATCGTAAGCATAAATTTTGAATTCGCTCGAGTTAGTTTAACGGCGCTTCGGTAACGTCCAGATATCAAATATGAGCATAATCAAGAATAGGCAGCAGTAGGGATTGAGCAAGCGCAACTTTAATGGCAGTAGGAGGAAAATTTTTAAGTCTCCGCAGAGAGTTTTACTTTATTAACTTATAGTGACCATGTAAGACAGGAGTCGATATATATTCCTAAATTTTAACTTTATCACTAAAAAGAATGTGAATACCATTGAGAAGAATAGGTAGTATGAGAGACAAATCAACCCTAGCAACTAATCTAGAACTACCAATAATTGTTGCTTGGCTTTATGGTATTAATGAATAATCTATAAGATTTACACTAGTCACCACCATCCACAACACCATCAATAACTTTTGGTAAATCCTCCAGAGAAGATTGAGTGTAAATTTGAAGATCGTCAGCGTACAAGTAGTAGAAAGAAGATAGTTGTTTAATTATAGAATGTATGCAAACTTGAGGAGATAACACGCCACCTTGTGGGACGCCGGCAACAGTAACAGTCCAAGAGGAATAGACATTCTGTACTTGAATACGCTGTCAGCACATAAACAAGTAGCTACGAAACCAGTCAACTACAACCGGATATGATGAGAGAGCGCAATATGTATAACAAGATATTAAAATTGACTGTATTAAACGCATTGACTTGGCACTGTCATTTAACGTAAATATTTTTTTTTATAGGATAAGGGTGACAAACGAGCACACAGTCCACCTGATGGTAAGTGGTTGCTGCGGCCCATAGACATCTACATCTATCCTCTATTACAAATCAAAATGTAGATGCGTTGTTACCCGTGAGGACTAAGATGGAATGCCTCATTTCCAGTAAAATATGGCTCACAGAATGAACTACTATTTTGTGGACGTCGTATCACTGTTTTATTTATACTTTACTGTATCAAGCGATAAAAGGCCACCGATGAGTATGAGTTTCTTCCGTTGTCAGCAGGATATATCAGGGTAGCCATATTGACGATCATCGTACCAGAGTATCGCATTTATGACCTTAATATGGCGCTGGTCTGGATATTTCACTTCTGGCCTAAAACAGATGTTATACCGCCATCTTTTGGAAACCACATGATTGTTCTGACATTTCCTATAGGTGGCTTTTACGTCACCCCCGAGACGAAACGATATGATCGATTTTCTTACGCCGCGCCGCCACCATATGGCTGTTTTATTTTAAGTAAAATAAATTCCCTAACAACATTATTACTAGAGATGAACGGCACCCATTTTGGTTTTATTTACTTTGATGTATACAGAAACGCCGTGTGTTCAAACTTTGCTAACCACATAACCCGAATACCAATCCCCGTGCTACGCTTAGCGACTTTGTAGCTATTTGCGAATTTGAAGCTGAGTCGTGCCGACCTTTAGTGACGTTATAATATCTTGTAATCAAACATACAATATTTATAGATTTTTAATTATGCATGTTCTAGTTTTCCTACTCCAACTTATTACAGGCTGTTTTCTTTTCTAATTTCATTTTTTCTATATACTTGAGGTAGCCATTATGTCATTTATCAGGCCATAAGTTATGATGCGGCGCATTCTTTTACCATACACCGCGAACATTACTTCGTGAACCTTTCATAGAAAATAATATCGTTTACTTCCAACAGGTGATATTATAAATATCCACGAAAAACAAGACGATGTTTGGTGGACGGGGGACCTCAACGGGTGCTACGGCATATTTCCATCCTCGTATGTCGAAGAAATCACTACTTGTATATGATGTTAAGGTCACGGCACATTTTTGTTGCTTGAAAACTTGATAAAGCATCTCTAGGGCCTTTTTCAATTTCACGTGTAAAAGGCGTTTTGTAGAGATTGGATTACTCTTGATCGCTTCAATGTTATTACTTTACCAAAAATTAAATATTTCAGTGTTATATCATGGGGCCATTAATAAAATACGTTCGCAGACACGTGTTACTTAGCGAGATGATAACATGTGACTAGTGAGCATGGGAATCTAAAGAAACGAATTGTTCGCAGTCCATTATTTATTTTTTCATCTTGTTGGTTTTTACATCTTATTTTACGAAAGTAAGTCATTCTTTCTTTAATTTATTTATTTATGTGAACACAATAGCCATTACTTGTTACGATAAATACTTACTGATGTTGGTTATGGCACTGATAGTAGTCTCAGGGCTATCAAACCTGTGTTATTTTATTAAAGCTAGGTTTGTTTAAATGTGTACTATTGTAGGTAAGAACGAATGGGTATAAACTGAGTGTCAGTTATTAAAAACAGGTAACAGTTAGTAAAGGTATAAAACTGTTGTTCTAGTGCGTTAAAATACGAGTCGTATTAGTTTTTTTTTTTCATTTATGTTTAACATGACAGTTTCAAATACAATTTGCTATTGCCAGTTGCTTTTAAGGTCGGTAAAAAAATTTGGTCAACTATGCTAAGGTATTAAAGCGAATTTTATGTGTTGTTGTGTGAATATTATGTGTTCGGGCAGCTATTCAGCAATATTTGGCAAACAGCCATTCCGATTCGAAGAGTGTAATATTCCCCCAGACACGATGAAAAATCCGAGTGAGAACATTAGTTATATTAATTAGGTAGTGTGTATATATGTCTGTCCCTTTTTGTCAGAAGAGTCTGTGTTTAAATACATTGTGTAAGACTCGAGCAAAGGAGGTTTGATCTCCGCCAGTATGAATGAAATTGTTAACGTAATTGCAACTGTTAATTTACCACGCATTCAGCGGTGAACGTTCGAAGTCTGAAGAATAATATATTGCGACGACAACCGGAGCATTGTAACTGACTCAGAAATTAGAAGGAGCCTGTGACGCTTACAAAATAGTAATATACCTATAACTTTAAACTAGACTTGCAACGAATATTCGGCTATTATTCGGTATTCGGTCTATTCGGCTACTTTTATCCTAAATATCGGCCGAATACCGAATACTTAAGTAAGATTTTATTGTAATCAGATAATTGGTAAAATGAAAATATTTATTTATTTGATTATTTTTTTTTGTAATTATTAAGGTAGTCTTATTAAAAACAGAACTATCAGACATATGTCTATGCACTCGACTTATCGTAATTAAAGTGGAAGATAATGGTGCAAAAGTCCAAATCTCAACTTCAGCGAAAAGACGATCTGAAGAATAAACACTACATCCATCCTGGCCGAATACTTTTGCTTAATATTCGGCTATTCGGCCAGGAAGTCTGCAGAATATTCGGTATTAGGCGTATGGCCGAATATACTATTCGTTGCAAGTCACTTTAAAGTAACAAATATTTTAAATCATGAATATTTGTATGCTATTATTAATCGCAAAAGGTCACTTATAGACGGTTAGGGAGAAGTAACTTGTGTGACGTGTGTGACGTTATTTATATTTTATGGCAGTTGCTTGTCACTCTTTGTGACGAACCGAGAGTGGCATATGTGGCAAAAAAAGGCTTTATGACGTATTTTATGAATGGCCCTAAACAAATATTGAAAAGTGTAATATAATTTAGAAAATGTACCGCACAAACAATAATATGTTAGATATGGACATGTAAAGTTTTATGTAATATGTAAGTTGGAAATTAAAGTTTGAAATGATGTTAATTGTTTGTAAATTTTAGCATTAAGCGCATAATCAAATTTTAATGTAAATGCAATTAGTTTGTTAAATATAAATTATTACCTACACTGAAAGATGAAACCAAAGTATTGTAAGTAATAAATAAATCATATAACTATTTACTAAGACTATTTTTCACCTTTTCCACTCGCTTGATAAACACTTTAAATAAATACAAAGTACCATGACAACAAATTGTTTATTATAAAATAAAGTTAATAGATTACAATGTTGGCAAGAAGAACTGTTCTTAAATATATATAACTGAATTATGACACATTTAAATTTAACCTCATTACCCCTTAAACAAGCAGTGAAGACAGTTATACAATGCAAGATATCCCATTCAAACAACTTTTTACACCTGCTAACTGGCAATCTTTACAATATCAGCGTACCTGCGTAATCAAATATTTCAGACCTCACGTATAAACCAACTGCCTCTGTTTTTGAGGACAATATCCAAAATTATTTCAACAGCCGACAAATCAACTTACATCTATAAACAGGAAAGCGAATAGTAATTTATTTCATCAACTTAATCTGCAAAGGTAATTTCGTATATTGGGGCTAATTGTTCAATCGTCAGTTGAATTATCCATCAAATAAATTATTACCCGACTGAATATAAAAGTTAAGTAATTTAACTATTATATTCATACAACTGTAATTATAATTTAGTTTATTTTTTATTTATCCTATGAATAACTTTTAACTGATGATTTATAAATCGGCTCTTATTGTGATATCTTATATTTTAACACAAGGTGAAAGTTTGGAGTTGCAACGAATATGACAATATAATTTACATTCGCAACCCGCTCCCGTCAAACGAGATAACAACACGATACTGACACCAACACCGAGTTGTCAGTTATTCTAAAAATTAATCGATGTAGGATAATCGATAAGTTATTGTTGGATGTTATTTGTTGAACACAGATTTAAAGTGATGTGGAGCTTTCAATATATAAATACTACTGGTAACTTTATGACAATACTTTGTATCTATATTAGCGCCCTCTAATATTCTCAATTTAAAAATTTTCATTCATAAAAAAAATTCGTTTCGTTTCGCTTCTCCGTGTCGGCGAAATAACAAAATGTTTAAATACCTAGTCTCTCGTACAATTCCATTCCACGACTTTCATAACTCCTTCGATATCTACATTTGTAATAGAAGACTTATTCTTATCAATTACAATACTTACACCAAAACAATAAATTCTCACATGTGTGCACTTGGACCGGACTAGTTGTTTTTACGATTCTAGTAAAAGCTTTATGATGACAATAATTATTAATTGAAATTTTTGTTACTATATTCAAATGTTAAATTAGATAAATCTTTCGTTATTTTTTATTACAGTTGTTTTTATATGTATTACAGCTAAATTAGTGTAAATAATAAACTTAAGATTACCTAACCGGCTAAACTTAGCTGAGGTTTACTCCAACCTATTGGTTAAATTGTTCAAAACAAATTAAAAAAGAAAGAAAATTAGGATGGAAATTGTTTTATTTTTTTTCTTGTCCATGATTTGTTTATTACATTTAATAAGCAATAACTCAAAATATAAACTTAGGTTTATTCGACTTATACGTAGCGTATAATTTATATAACATACTAGCTGGCCAGGCAGACATTCTGCCGTTTCCGACGACCCTACCCATAAAAAATTATACTATTCGCAATAAACAAATATTGAGGATCACTTATCGGGATAAAAACTATCCTATCCTATTTCACAAACTGCACGCAGTATGCAAAATTTCATTGAAATCAATTCAGTAGTTCAGGAGTTGACAATATGACACGTTATATTACCTACAAGTTACAATGTGACACGTAATTTTTACATATAAAGATAAATTATTTAAGATGAAAAATATTTTTGATACGAGGCAATCCATCTTAGTCCTCAGGGATGACAATGCATCTGCATTTTGATTATTAATCGAGGATAGATGTAAATGTCTATGGGCCACGGCATCCACTTACCATCAGGCGGGCTGTGTGCCCGTTTGTCACCCTAATTCTATTAAAAAAAGTTTATTGTAAATGAATACAACAACGAACATCCTATTCGTAGGCCAAACCTAAGTTAAGCCGGTTAATCTAAAGATTTGTTTATACAATGGCGTAAGATATAATTACGATTAAAATATAAGATACGATTATTTGTGGTATGATAAAAGTATTTACTAAAACAAAGATTGTAGGGGATTACATCATGCACTAAAATAACATACGATAGAGATATTACTACTTTTAGACTAGTGAAAGTTATTAAATTATAATATGTATGTGTATGAAGGCCTACCTCAATATTAAAAACCAACGTTTTTGGTCAGTAAAACATAGGAATGCGATCTCGACGAGAATAGTTCAAGTAAGCTCTATTTATAAATACACCTACAAACAGCTACTGTTTCAAATTCGATTATCCTTATTGCCTGATATTATTCGAAAATAGATATCCTCAAACCATCTACGTTTATCTATGTACAAAAATATGCTACCATTTTTTCAAGCCTACTGTGAAAGTACATCGAATATATCAATTAATGATCGTCTCATAATCCAAACCAAAGAAAATTACCAACCCAAGCGTAAATAACGAGATACCAAGATAATTGATCTCGTTAATAACCTAACACGGACAAAATTAATTTTCATATTGCCACTTTAGCAAATAAGAAGTATAAACTTATTGTCGTACACCCATAATGTGTAGATTCATCAACAGATACTCAATAGATTCATTAGAATCAATTTCTCTCCTAAGGTCAAATGTCACAAGTAATATTCCTAATTTATTGACCTTCCAAAATAGTCAGTGTATAATATAATTTTATCTTTAACATAAAATTATATTTTGTGACTTCGAGAGAATATTCAAATCCGTTTCAGACGATCAGATGTCATATTGTATTTGCTGTATATACTTATTATACTCTGTATTGTATGATACTTGGATAAACTTGTAACAATTGGCCACAAGATGACCGATATGAAAGTACCTACATCTAAAAATGTTTAAGCGAAACATCTTAGATACAACCTTAATTAATTATGACAAAAATCATACAAAATAAAGCCAAAAATTTTAAAAGAAAGTTGTAAATGCATCTTTGATTTTTCTTGTCTTAAGAAGAGCTTCTTTCTAATCAAAATTAAACATTTTATTGACGTAAAAATGTATGTGTTATCGAAAAAATGAAGCGTCCATTGATTCCAAGTATGCGTACAATTAATTATGATAAAATATTGATTTATATATTCTTAGAAGTAATCTCATCATTAGTAACAAATTCAGATATTTTTATCCAAAATCTTATGTTAATAATACTTACACTAACAATTTTGTTTTTAATACATTTCAGATAGAAAGACCCCTCATTAGTTGAAAAAGTATGGAAAAACCTAGCCTTTGTCTAGCCCAAACGACAATTAACAATTACTACAAACCAAGACTAAATCGCGAACAGATTTTTTGGAATAATTTAAGTCTGGCAGTGACTATATTTAGTTTGTTATTTCATCACAAAATCTTACTTAGTAAATCGTAATATATGTCTTATTATTTCTTTATACGTGTAATACACTGAAAAAAATAACAATTGCCTTAATATTTAACTTTATGTGAAAAACAATAAGATTTTTTTTTAACTATAGTTAAGAATTATTTTACACTGGTTTCTTATAAAATAATTCTACCAAATCTTTCATTTTTTTTTATTTTACTAGAGAAATCAGTCAACTATATTGACGAAAGAAGTTATGTAATTTACGTGGGATTTATCTTACGTTATTTCTGGCATAATAATCATAAATTAATATTGAAAATCTATGTTCAATATCTATGATTAATTTGAATTTTATAGTAAAAAACGTCGATAAAAGCAAATTCTCCCAACGGCTGCAACTATTTTCGGGTACAATTATTATGACAAAAAAATATCTCCGTTTAATATTTTCCTGATGAAACATTTTCCAGCGTGGACATTACTTGGAAGCTATTTTTATAACCGAGGTTCGTTCTCTTTTCTTTTGGAATAATTTTTTAAATAAAGGATAATTAATTTCAAGTTTAATTATATATAATAAGTTATAATATTGTATAAATATGATGTAAATACTTAAGCAGTAAACATTTGAAGCTGAAATACTAGCATTATTGAAAAAATAATAAGGTATAATAGGATTTTGTGTATGGTATTGAATTAGGAGGATATCAGGGTGGCAAGAGATTAGACGAATAAGTTTTTAAATTTATTGCTGTCGCGTTGTACCGGAGCGAGCAGAAAATTCATGGATTCGAAATCATTATATGGTATTACCCTGTTTCCTCCTCCAGATTTTTTTCAAGATCAATATGCAAATGTGCTTCAAATAAAATTATCGACGTCAATGACTTCGAATGACACTTGAAAAGTACGGCTTGCAAAGAAAATTTTCTATATTAATAACGTTTTTTGCCGCTTTATCTGAGTCTTAATATTATCAAATCTATTGAACTCATAATTAATTTAAAATATTGATTCTAGGTGGAATATTTTAAAAAACTACATAAATCCATGTTTTACTTTTATAAGAGAAAGCAGCAGTGATGATATTGATGACAATGATGACTACTCAGACGGTGATGCAGAGATGAGCGAAACGGAAATGCTAGATTCAGATTAATACTTTTTCACTCATGGTTCTTTTTTTTGTAAATAGATATTATCTCAAATTAATCTGTTTTGCTCACCCTACCTAACTGGTTTGAATAGATAGCTATAACGTCACAATATGGCACCAGATTAGTCCTATTGTTATTTGAATTATGAATGACTTTTCTCTTACTTTTTCTGTTCGATAAATTTGTTTGCTGGATGTGCGAAATAATAAATGGCAATCCTAGCAATTTTAGAAGGTTGTTAGTTTTTAAAATAAATAATTTATGCAAAAATAAATTATAATTGTAATAAATAAATTGAATCGCAAAAATATTTGCTTTACTTTCATTATCCAGGAAGAGAGCAGAGGTGGTATGGCCTAACCGTCACCCGGATATCCTCGTAACTAACAATTTGTTTAGATTATATCAAGGCATTATTATTAATTCGATATTATTATGTAGTATGCAATATAAGATTTTTTAAACCAAAAATGTTCGTTTGGTACCCAGTATTTATACAGATGAAACTCATTCATAAGAATGATAAAAACAATGAATGCTGTTTTGATACTATTTGATTTTTGTGTTATGGTTATTATTTTTATAACACATCATATGATGGGTACAAAAATGTTTGTTATATTGAGGGTAGGAATGTAAATGAAACAAAAACATAAAGTTAACACTTACTTATTAAAAAAGGAACAGTAATACAAAATAGAGATTAAAAAAAAATAAACAATGTAATAATCAGGCGAAATAAGTCTGTACTTTAATAGGAAAGTATATAATAAAACGACTTAAGTATTATAGTCTTAAAATACTGATAATGAACATTATTTTAAAAAGCACTAAATCACAAATTACAATAATATCTAATAATTATATAAATCTTGTTATGTGATACAGTAGCTAATAGCAAATATAATGCTGTAAGCTTAAATTCAATTAAATATAGGTTAAAAGTGAACATAATATGTAACACATCCCATTCATTAAAAAAAAAACTCTATTTAAAATATAAAATAAACAAAATGAATTAATACGGAATACAAAATAAGACTAGAAATTGAGCGATGAAATGGATAGTGATTAGAGATAGAAATAGTGTCTAAATGATCACAAATTTGACATAAAACGTACCTTTTCTCCTTGTAAGACGATTGATTTTCAATTTGATTCACTCGTTTTATGGATAACATAAAATGTCACGTGTGTACATTTACCAGTTTACTGGCAACAAACGTTTCCTTAATTCAACCTTATTTTACGATTACACAAATTCTACCACATTTTTGTAAACATTCAACGTATATTATATAGTGTTGACTTTAGGACTTGGAAACAATTTACAATAACCAAAATCAGACGTGAATCACAATTTTCCGTTATCAATGGTACTCGTTCATTCAAAAACTAATTAATAATCTAATTTGTGATGTTTATCAAAAATTAAATACAGAGTTCCCTGTAAATAAAAAAAGTGTGTGTGTCAGCTTTCACGCACGACTGGAGTTTACTCCTTACGAACAATTATATATGAAATTTAATATCAAAACTCTGCAGGTTGACAGTTAGTTGGCAGTTGTTATTTGTTTATATAATGTAGTACAGCCGAGAGTACTCTGTGCGGGGGGCTGCGCAAGATAAGTTGCACGACATTACGTAGTCATGGAAACATGAATACATAACGTAACGCACGAGGTGAACGTTTGATTTTACTCCCTATAAATGTTCACACCCCGAGTTTATATATGAAAATCAATTCTTAAGAAGTAAACTCAAAAAAACTTAATTCGCAATGAATATTGGTAACAAACATTTCGCATGATGCCATATGTATGTTATTCGAATAATCACAATCGATAAGGATGGAATGCTCAATATTGTTTCGATTCGCAACAGTCACTCAACACGTCAAATTAAAGCGTAATATACCTTAAATATATAAAGAAACATTGCGTTCTGCTTCAGCTCTATAACAATTAAATTAAGCTTTGGCAAAAAAAATATCACACGCTAAATATTATGTGCGTCCGTCACCCAGCGAACTGTTACGGAAAGGTTTGCGCATAATTATGGAATAATTGCATTTTATGCTTTTTTATTATATTTGATCGTGTGCGTATGGAAATTACAAAAATCATTATATTCATTATACATTAAATAATTTTCTTTAAAAATAGATCACATTTAACTGAAATAAAATTGTATTAAACAACGGTTATTTTACATCGAGAACGATCGGTTCTTAAAGTTATGACTTACACTACATAGTATATATACTCTTCAAGAGCTTACCCGTTCATTACATCAAAAATATTTCCCAAAAAAAAAACGGCCTAGTGCCAGTACGTGGCAAGAATTATATTAGTTAAAAATATAAACTCGAGTACATGATAAAATATTGAAGGTACTACTAGACGTTTTTTTCACTTAAAGTGATTTGTTACTAAAATTGATAAATTGTTTCAATTCATTTTTTAAATTTGACACGAACACAGTAATTAGTTTTTAAATTCTCAAAGTAATATGTGGGAAAACAAAGGATAAGCATTTTATTGAGAAAATAAGAAAACTCAAATTAATTATCGTATCAAACCAAACTATATAAAATTTAAACATTGATATAACATCACATAAACAATGGAGAAATAACAACATAACCACAACCACATCTTAAAAGGGGTTCAAGACCACTTCCACACCGGCATCATTCATACTACAGTAAAAAATTCAGAAGATCCATTTTAAAAATTCGTGTAACAGGCTACATTAAAATGGCAGTGTATGTTAAAAATTGAGTTACTGCAGTTGATTTGGTGTACATTTAATCCTTATGACAGTATTAGATACATTATGTCTTTGAGTAATGCGTAATATTATTTTCACACATTGATATCTCTAGTGGCAGCACTGCCACCGCGCCGCAATGACTTACAACGGACTTTAGCCGTCGATGGGAAAAGGAAGATCTCAAGCTGGTCAAGGTATTCAGCCCGGGAACGTTCCCCGGTAGGACGGTTGACGAGGGCGTATGATAACTACACGACGTCAACTGATCGCACGTTCCAACAACCATCGGAAACTTCAACATAAAGCTTGTCGATATCGTCCTCAATATATTTTCCATTCACTCCCGAACAAACCATCGTCTGCAAGTCTTCAAGCTCCTACGTCCAAATTGTCATCATCTCTACTCACTGTCGATTCACAAGGCAATTCGGGGAGCGACGCCATTTAAAATATTTAATAACGGCAATTTCTAGTAAAATCTAGAATGTAACCTATATATTAACCATAAATATTGATAATTTAAATATTTCTAGCCTTACGTCAATACCACTATGCTTGAAATAAATTTTCTAGTAAAATCTTGGCAAAATATTGGAAATCGATTATTTACTCGTTCTCAATTGTATAGAATTTAATAATGAATATATTTAAACACTACGTGTATTATTTGGCGATTAATGTTAAAAAAAGTCGAACATAAAACTAGGCCTTGAACCCCGTTACAAATCGACTTAATATAATAATATGGATTGAGTAATTAATAATACAGTAATAAATTCACATCGAATACATATTATATACCATCGCTTAACTACAGATGTAATAATGAGTGGCTCTCCTTACGATAATACTGGAATAAAAACGAAATGCCTCCTCTCCAACATGTTTAATATCCTGAAACAAACAATTTCCTACGGTTAAATTCATTCATGGATATCTGTAAATAAAATGTATAAATCTATAGTTTTGGGAGTTGATCTAGGCTTAGCGACTGTTGTACGTTGCTACCAATTCAACACCAACTCGATATTAAACAAAGAATGATAATATAAAGTCTGTATAGTAACTAGTAAATTACACGAGATGCAACTGTACACACAATACAACACCTTTCGAGCATAACAAACATCTTCACAATATTTTAATAATTATAACTAACAGAGAATGCTACATCGCATTAATCCTCCTTGCTCACTACAGTTGAGTATAGTTTAAACTATAAATGAATAATAAAAATAGTTTAAATAATCTTATATATAATAAACAAAAAACCTTTATGGTGAACATAATATGGCAGAGCCCCTAAAAAATAATTTAGCATTTAATAATAACTACAAACCGACTTCAAAAGGTAACAACTAGAATGTGGTCTCAATAGTTTTTAGACTTTAAGATTTTCATGCCATATTTTACAAAGTGTATGGATGAAATAATTATTTAAATTTTTATGGTACCACCCCTAAAATATACTGAAGTGTCAGGGTATTCAGGGTTAAGTTACTATTAAATTAAGTAAAATTTAACCAGATAAGCCGTTTCCGATAAATCGGTGAACATACATTAAAAAACTGGCCAACACAATGTAGAGGTAGGGTTCCGTAGTTGCCCATCATCAATACGTGGGTTTCCTTGATAATGCGCATAGTGAGTTCGCTGTTTGACCGCTATAACGACTGAAACTGGTCCCAAATAGGAAGATCGTAACTCAAGGACTTATTTTCAAATCAGCCTTATAGGGAATGGTATTCAAAATTTATTAAAAAAAAACTTTTCTATTTTGATAATAATCCTACGTATCCTATCCACCTATCTATCCCGCAAATGAAAAAGTAAAGTTAATATTAGTAATGCATATAAATCGTTTTCTTAATGTTTTTTTTTAACAGTTTACAATAATATTACAAAGTTATTAATACAGCTAGTTTTAGGTCGTGTTCAAATCAAATCCAAGTGCATTTTATAAGTTGGTCGACTATTACTCATTATTACTTATTTCTTAATTGTACTTATTTGTGATAGTTTTCCTGTTAACTTCATTATATATACTACTATTGTGTATACTTTCACATTTCCAAAAAACAGCGGTTTAGGGGGAGGGGTTATGGACACATGACTCTAATGAATAATACTATACTTAAAAGCTAAGTATTTCGTAAACGGACCCCTGAATCGAAAATATGATGTTCCACACAGTGTTTTAAAGACCTATCCAACGATACCCCACATGATGGAATAGACGGAAAAATAAAGATTACAACAGACAAATTACAGATTAGTAGCACCTAGGGTCTCTGAGCAAAACCGCGGACGGTCGGATGGACGGACAGACATGGTGAAACTATAAGGGTTCCATGTTGCATAACTACGGAACCCTAAAACATACGCATTGCATATCGAACCTTCTCTTTTTTTGAACTAGGTTAAATTTAGGTTAGGTTGTACTTTTGTACGACAGTGATGTACAATATAGAAGATTTCATTTAAATGGAAAAGGGCTTGTAAACGAACTATAAAATTGCATCTTGCAATATTGCTATTGATCTGGTAATATTACTAAGCTATAGTTCTCAGTGTGATTTCTATCGATACCCTTGCTGCAATGTTATTGTACAACACCTTGGCACTATTTCGCCAATGTTTCTACAGCTGTATTGCCGAGCAATTGAGTTTATACACGTGGAGCAACATTAATGCGATGGAACAGTGCAGAGTAAGATGAAATTGTTGCTGCAGCATTTATTGTGAATACATCACATTATATAAACGAACCTAAAAAAACTAGCGAGTCTATACTACTTGTATCTTCCACAATCCACATTCTTTAATTGAGGACGCACGTGGATTGCTTTTATAAAGTTTTTAATTCATTTGACCACGTCTTCATGACGAACAAATAAAACATATTATTATCACAATAATTATTAGGTACTAGAATAGGAACAAAAAAACAATACGTTTTTGTTATTATCGCGTGGTGAATTGGATACAAGTAGCGCCGAGGCGTTAAGGCCAAGGAGTGGAAAAGAGATGAACTTATACGACAGAGCAAGATGACAAAAATATTGTCAAGCGATTTTTTTTTTATATATAGTATTAGAGTGATGTGATGTGATCTGATGGTAAGCGGATGCTGTGGCCCCATAGTCATTTACATTTATCCTCATTTAAGAATTAAAATGCAGATGCGTTGTCACCACGAAGGACTACGATGGAATGCCTCGTTTTCACTAAAAAGGGTATCCGATTCCCTACACTCACCAAACGAAACACAGCAGCATTAAGCTGCTATATGACGCTGGTATTCTGTAAGAGCGTTGTACTACCCCGGTCGAGCCAGCCCATTCGTGGTACAACCATAATTAAGCTGCAGCATGGCTCTGCCACGTACATGTTGCAATAATTGTCAAAGGTAGTTTAACCACTTGCGAGCTAGCCCGGTAGACATCGAACGCGATGTGGTTACATCAAACTCGGTCGGGGAAAAAGTTTCTTCGTATTTTGTTTGTATAAAATTGAAGAAAAATCTCTTTGGTTGTAATGTTTGTATCTGGCTGGTTTTAATATTAATACATATAGGACATTAAGAAAAAAATTTGTGACGTTTATGAACCTAATGCAGTGTCAGCAAAAGTAGCACAAGATGGTTCAAGGCGTTTTCAGTCCGGCACTTTTGATGTCAAAGATGCGGCTACTCTGGTCGCCCTCATACGGATAAAGTCGATGCCATTTTTTGTAAAAGTGGAGCAATATCGGCATATTAGTAGTTACAACATAGCCGAGGCATTAAGGACTGACTACATAACAGTTTTGACCCATTTGAAAAATTCTGGCTATACAAAAAAGCTCCATATTTGGGTACCACACGAGCTCACTAAAAAAAAACCTAATGAATCATGTACTCATTTGCGATTCTCTATTGAAACGTAATGAAACCGAACCATTCTTGAAAAAATTGATCACTGGTGATGAAATGTGGATCACCTACGACAAGAACGTGCGAAAAAGATTATGGTCATAGAGCAGCCAAGCTACACAGACTGTAACGAAACCTGGACTGGTAGGTACTCGTATTACCGTCTGTGTCCATCGTTTATAATGAGGTTTTACCGCCGCGCCGGGCAAACCTATCGATTCGGATCTCTACTGCCAACAGCTAATGAGACTCAAGCAAGAAATTGAAAAAAAAACGACCGAAATAGATCAAGTGAAAAAGAGTGGTCTTTTATCATAATAACTCCAGACCACACAAATATTTGGCCACTCAGCAAAAATTGAGAGAGCTTGGTTGGGTTGATTGATTACTATAATATAGTCTTGACCTTGCACCCTCAGATTTTCACCTGTTTCGGTCTCTTCAGAATTCTTTGGGTAGTGTTTCTTTAACATCAACTACTTATCGCATGTCGACTAAAAATCCCAAGATTTCTACAGTACCTACAAGATGGCAACAAGTTAAGACGGCTACTCACATGCCTGCCGCAGGGGCAATCTAGGGTGTAGGAGTGGGGATGACCCTTAATTGCCTCCTTAATAGTAAGACCTTCCTTGCTCCCTAGATCGGCCCTGCCGCTGTCGCGTGTGTAGCGCAATTGGGGCAATTTCAATCAGTTCGTTTGCGACTTTCGCGCGGAGCACACGTGTGAGTATAAGTCACAATGGATACAATAAATAACGTGAAATTTGGACACTGGTGATAGAAGTGTATAAAGAGCGGCTTCTTCACCCAATACCTCTTTTTTGTCTTATTTTGCGGTAGTACCGCAGAAAGAACGTTATTTGAACGTTGTAACTTACAAGTAACATTACTGGGATTTGTTACAGAGTAGATATCTATCTAACTTATCATAAGGGCCAGTGTGGGAAAGAAAATATTCCAATAGTAGGAGTACCTAACTATGTATACAAAATAAAGACTTTTATTTTTCATATCCCAAAACAAACTATAGCTAGATTGGTTTGTTTTTATGTTGTAAACATCATCCCGTTTTAAAATCATATCTAAATAGCCACAATGTTTTATAATAAAGTCAACAATACTTTTGGAGTTAGAATAAACAACTACCTTATATCCGACTGCTACGTAGCCTAACAGTGTAGTAATCGATAATCGAGGAGGGTAATAAGCAATCTCGTTTCCATTTATTTCGATTTCTTTCAGATCATTATCATCACTATCACAATCCACAACAACGAGTGAAGCAAATAAGATGATGCGAATTATTGCCGGGTGACAATCAATAGCGTCCACCGATGACCACAGATTATGTAACTTGTCCATAACAAATGACGTTCCGTTGTTCGTAATTGAACAAAACGCTTAGCTTACTATGCAGCTACATAATTATTTTTATGACATGAATCCAGTACATAATAAATCAGTATAGAAGTTGATTTGATCTCTACATAGTAATTGCATTGAATTTAATTACAATTAATAATTATTCAGAAAAACGTAAATAATTGTAGTGTTTGAATACAAACTCCTTTCGTACGCAAAATGAATCGTCATTACGTGCGTTCCAGTGCGTTTTTAAACCATTATTTTAAATAATTTCGGAACAGTTACAAAAACAACAATAAATGGATAACTTTTTTTTGTGGCTACTTAGAGAGGTATTTCTTGGGTTTTTAAGACCTTAATAAATAAGGGTATTTTTCATAAATATGGCATATAGTGACGCCATCGTTTCGTCGCCAGGTACGATTTGACCAACCTTCTTTTAGTAATTAAATTCATTAAAACTCATCATTAGAAAACTATCCCGGCTATTTGTAACACTTGTTAAATTATAGTAACTAAGCACTAGTTAGTTAAGTTATGTCACAGAATAAATTGGTTATATTAAATTATAACGAGTAAGTTAGTCACATTTAATTGTCTTCGGTAACCTAAA